AGACGGTGCATGCTCTGATTTCAAGCCTATCAACGCTGGTGTTCAACAAGGCTGCGTGCTATCACCAACGCTGTTTCTTCTGCATATCAATGATATGTTGCTAACTAGTAGCATTCATTGCTATGCGGACGACAGCACTGGTGATGCCTTATATACCGGCCGTGCCAATATTTCTCGGGAAAACGTCGCCGAGTACCGGGACAAACTTGTGTCTGAAGTTGAGTCTTTGCTTAACAAAGTCTCGGATTGGGGGCGACTAAATCCAGTCCAGTTCAATCCCCAGAAGACACAAGTTTACGCGTTTACCGCTAAAAAGAACCCCTTTGTCGTATCTCCTCAGTTTCAAGGCACTCCCCTTGCTGCCTCAGCTAGTATCGAAATCCTTGGCGTCGACATATCAAATACTGTGCAGTTTCGTGGTCACTTGGAAGGGAAGGCCAAATTGTCCTCTAAAAAGCTTGGCGTGCTCAGCAAAGAGAGACAGTATTTCATGCCGGCACATCACTTTTCAACTTTACAAAGCGCAAGTTCGGCCCCACATGGAATGCTGTTCTCATGTCTGGGTCGGGGCACCCCATTGCCAGCCCCTTCCACTTGACCGCATCCAGCGCAGAGCGGTTCGAATCGTCGACGACCGAGTTCTTTCCGATCGGCTTGACTCACTGGCACTGCGTAGAGATGTTGCATCTCTTTGCGTATTTTATCGCATCTACCACGGGGAGTGCTCTGAGGAATTGTTCGGACTAATTCCAGCCGCTCAATTTCACGATCGCACATCGCGACAAAACTCGCGTTACCATCCATACCATCTGGATGATTGGCGGTCCACCACTGTGCGATTTAGAAGAAGTTTTCTTCCTCGCACAACTTCCTTGTGGAATCAATTACAACCAGCGAATTTTCCGGACCGATACGACTTAGGAACCTTCAAGAAAAGAGCTTACACCTTTCTAAAAGGCCAGCAACGCATCTGCAATTCCCCTGGTGTTGCGGTTGTTTATGGGCGGCAGTAGTCACTTACCATCAGGTGAGCCGCATGCTCGCTAATCCGCCAATGCGTGTTTAAGTGTAGTATAAAGCGATTCCTGTGGAAAACAGTTAAGTGGGTGGGGCTCCCCCTCACCCCGCAAGTTGTAATTACAACAACGCCTCTTTGTATTTGCTCCATGGACGCGCGGCGGTCCAGTTGCTGGACGGCATCGCGATGTGCCGGGTCGCATCCAGCGTGCAGCGTGCCGCCAGCAGCTCTTGCACCATCACGTACCGGATGCGCTCTGCCTAAAACTGCCTTCCGACCTATCCCTATATACTACAAAACAAACTCTGTTCCCGCTCTCTATTTGCTTACATCTTTTAAACTACGCAACGAATTTAGATAAGATTTTCATCAATAGGCAGAATGATTCAAGAGGAATGTTTATAATCATCATTCATCATCATTACAGCCCTTCACAAGTCCACTGCTGAACATAGGCCTCCCCCAAAGAATGCCACAAAGCACGGTCCTGAGCCACCTGCATCCATCGACTTCCTGCATATCTTACCAGGTCGTCACTCCATCTAGTGGGGGGACGCCCTACACTTCGCCTGCCGGTACGAGGCTGCCACTCGAGAACCTTTCTTCCCCATCGGTTGTCGGTTCTTCGAGCTATATGGCCGGCCCATTGCCACTTCAGCTTACTAATCCGTTGGGCTCATTTCTGAGTTTATCACGCAGGGAAACTCCGAGCATAGCCCTCTCCATAGCTCGCTGAGCGACCTTGAGCTTCCTCATCCGGCCAGCAGTGAAGGACCACGTCTCAGTTCCGTATGTCATCACTGGCAACACGCACTGGGTGTACAGTCTCGTTTTCAAGTTTTGAGGTATACCTGACGAGAAGATGTGTCGTAGCTTCCCGAACGCTGCCCAGCCGAGTTGAATCCGTCGATTGACCTCTCGGTCGAAGTTGGACTTACCTAGTCGGACTATTTGTCCCAGGTAAACATACTCGTCAACAACTTCGAGCTTAGTGTTCCCAACAACTACCGGCATAGGTGTGACATGGACATTAAACATGATCTTTGTTTCGTCCATGTTCATCTTAAGACCTATCCGTTGGGAAACACTATTGAGGTCATTGAGCATAGTGCTTAGGTCCTCCAGCGATTCTGCCATAAGGACTATATCGTCGGCAAATCGAAGGTGAGTGATGTACTCGCCATTGATGTTTATACCGTATCCTTTCCAGTCCAGAAGCTTGAAAACATCTTCCAATGCAGCGGTAAAGAGTTTCGGGGATATGACGTCACCCTGTCTTACACCTCTCTGCAATTGGATAGGTTTCGTACTCTGGTTCTGTACTCGGATAGCCATCGTAGCCCTACTGTACAAGCACTTCAACACTTCGATATACCGACAGTCAACTTGGCATCGCTGAAGGGACTGCAGCACCGCCCAAATTTCGACGGAATCAAAGGCTTTCTCATAGTCCACATACGCCAGACATAGTGGCAAATTGTACTCCTCGGACTTCTGTACAATTTGCCGAAGGGTATGTATGTGGTCTATGGTGCTAAAGCCTTTTCGGAAACCGGCTTGTTCGGGAGGCTGGAAGTCGTCAAGTCTGCGCGCGAGACGATTCGTAATGACTCTCGAAAACAGCACGTAGACGCGGCTCAGAAGGGATATCGGTCTGTAGTTCTTCAAGAGAGCGTTGTCGCCTTTCTTGAAGAACAAGACCACCGCACTTCTGCTCCACGCCTCCGGTGTAATGCCACCATGGAGGACAGAATTAAAGAGCTTCTGAAGGACTTCAAGTACCGGTTTTCCACTCGTTTTCAGAAGCTCCGCTGTAATTCCATCCTCGCCTGGGGCCTTGCCGTTTTTAAGGTGCTGGAGAGCCATTCTAATCTCGCTCAGACTGACGTCCGGGATATCAACGGAATAATGTCGGATAAGACTCGCTCTTGGATCGTTACTCACACTTGCGCGCGGCTCCAACGATGACGTGTACAGCTGCCCATAGAACCTCTCAATCTCACTCAAAATCTCAGGTGCCCCGGAAACGATGCTGCCACATTCTGTCTTCAGCTTTGACAGTTGGCGCTTTCTGGCAGACAGATCTCTGGCAAAGACTTTGGAGCCTTGGTTCCGCTCGATCGCTTCTTCAATACGAGCTGTATTGAAGTTGCGTAAGTCCCGCCGCATGCATTTGGAGATCTGTCTGTTCAGTTGCCTGTATGCTGTTAAATCTGTTGAAGAATGTAGCTTCATCTCCCGTCTAACAGCCATGAGATTAAGAGTGTGATCGGAGAGTTTTTGTGTTCTTCTGCGGCGGGTCTTGCAGAACTTAGCTCCGACCGCATGGACAGTTTCCACGAGCTTGTCATTCAAATCGTCCACTTCATTGCAGTCTTCTAGGCACTGAAAACGGTTTTGTAACTCGAGCTGAAAGGTTTCGGGACTTTGGATTAGAGCACGAGGGGGACGGAGCGTTGACTTCATTAGACGAGACCTCTCCAACTTAACGTTTAGGTTCAGTGTGCCTCTATCCATTCGGTGATCGCTGCCGGTTTTCACCCTCGCGATCACTGAGACATCACTGAACAGTTGTCGTCTGGTCGTCATAATGAAGTCAATCTCATTTTTTGTCGAACCGTCGGGGCTCGACCAGGTCCACTTTCTGTGGGGCCGCTTCTGGAAGAAAGAGTTCATCATAAAGAGTCCCTCTTTCTCCATAAAGTCAGCCAACTGCTGGCCCCTTGGGTTCCGTTGCCCTATTCCAAATTTCCCTACTTTCAGCTCACCGTTCTCTCTTGTGCCTAGTTTTGCATTGAAGTCTCCCATTAACACCGTATATTGGGTTTTGGAGGAATGCATGGCTCCAAAACCCAATATAGTATATATATAATACATAATAATTTTGTGTTATTCTTATAATTTTGTATTATAAGAATAATACAAAATTATTATGTATTATATAATTTTCTGTCCGTGTGTATGTTTCTAAACTTCTCCTAAACGGCTGAACTATTTTGATGAAATTTTGTGTGTATGATTAAGTTGGTTAGAGAATGATTAAGATTCACAATTGAACCCGGTAGGTGGCGTTAAAAGAAAGAAATACATTCTCCTTGTGAACTATATTTAGTATTACGCTGATGTCAAGGAATTATCCAGTATGAGCAAAGCGCCTGTTTTATTTATCACAAAAATTGTGTCATTATTTATTGTTGAAGTTTTTTTATTGTAACAATTTTTGAAGTGAAAACTTCTTTAGCCACGTTGAATGATTTTTTGTATGGGAAAAACTTATGAGTTCACGTTACCGATGATCTCAACATGTTAGTGAAGTCACGGGCATGTCATGTCTATTACGCGTAGTATAGCAGCCTGTGTACATGTATATGCATATCATTGGGTTTTCATTTCTGCCGGCAGTCTTTATTAATGCCTCTGTTTTTTTTTCTTTCATTATTATTATGTGGATGTAGTATGAACATTTTATTTTAAATATACATGCTATAGGATAAAATATCTTATAGTTATCTTTGTTTATTATTTCAGAAAGGGAAAGATGTAGTATAATGTATAGGTGGAGGGGAGGGTATACAAAATAAAGATAGTGTCAAACCAACTTGCGTATGTTTCACTCAGAAGGCTTCAGAAACGCATACATACGGGGCATACTCTTTGCGGGATATCAATCGACTACCTTGATCATTATTGCTAGTTGTGGTTTCATAAACTTTTATAAATAAAAACGATTATCTGATAGCACGACTAGTACTATCTAACTCAGAGATTGGTGAAATGAATGTTGTTCGGATTGCTTCTGAAAACATTCAAACAGAGAAATCTAAGGTTCTCTTCTTTTATAACTGAATTTAAATTAATATCATTTGATAATGTAGGTCAAAATAAGAAAGGCTAAGAAATATTTTTAATACGCAATTGTATTTTTCATTATATTTCATATGATACATTTTGATGTGGCTTTTCATTTTGTATGTGCACTTACAGTTGAGAGTTAGTTGTGCGACTTCTGTAAAGTCTTGCAGCGGCTCCAGCTGCGAGCGGACGAGCGTCAGGTACGCGCCCGCTGGCGGCTCGGTGTCGTCACCTGCAACAGTTACATACACGTTAAACTATTATAGGTGTATATAAATACTAAATATGTCACGTACGTATACGTGGTAAAGTAGAAGTAAAAGTATATTGTTGTAATCATTTGGCAAAATGTTTTATTTTTATGTTAAAAATATTACATAGTGCAACATTTAAAAGGAAATCAAAGGACAAAATAATGTCTTCTAGGTGATTGTCGGTAAAGCAGTGTGATTCGTTCTGAAGTGTATTGAGAACCAGTATGTATACATACTCGTATGCATACATACAGTTAGTGAGACTTTCCATCTTAATCCTTTTTCTACGAGGACTATGAGATGGACTGTTAGTTCGCGTTTATCACAATTAATAACGCTAAGCTTTTAATGTTTTTTCATAATATGGTACGTCAGCAAAAGGTGCACTGTAGATAGAACCTTTTTATATTTATTTTATACGTGGTAAAGCCACGCTGCCGCTATAATAGGATTATAGTATGAATGGATCGGCTCGACCAGGGAAGGACTACGCTTTCACAGTATACCAGCGTAAAATAGCAGCTCAATGCTGCTGTTTCGTATGGTGTAAAGAATCGGAGAACGTTTTAAAACTGGAAACGAGACATTCCATCTTAGTCGTCGGGGATATCAACTCATCTTCACATTTTGATCCTTAATCAAGGATAGATGTACATAGGAACGAATTTTTCACCAGTGAGAGCACTGAGCATACTCGCAGTGTATATCGGAACATACCCTAGGTCACCTGCGCTGAATGTATATTGAATTTACTAACAAATTGTAACTGTAATTTGAGATAAAACTTTATTAACAACGATTTCCAAAGGTGTTTGGTGTAATAATGGGAACTCGAAAATTAATTATAAGTTTAAAAGTAAAATCAATAAATTTTGCAGACTACTAAGACGATCTGTAGCCAAAAGCAGGCAATAGTTGTAATGTGTGTGTTGTGTGATGCATATCGTGTGCGTGCGTACCGTTGTGTGCGTGCGCGTGCGCGGGGTCGGCGCAGGGGTCGCCGGCGGGGGGTGCCGCGCCGTTAGGTTCCGCGCCGGGGGCTGCCTCGGGGGGCGCGGGGGGCGCGGGGGGTGCGTGGGATGCGGGCCGGCAGCGCGCACCCCGCACCGCCGCCTGCAGGCGCACAGCGGAGTACGCGCTGTTGGCCGCGCGCACCGACACCTGTTACGAATTACGAACACAATGGAATACAATCATTTTTATTCTATTTAAATTACAACTAATAATAGAATACATGTAATTTTTATTGCAACTCATTTTACATAAGAATATTTTATATTTACGCGAATGCTACACATGGAATAAAACCAATTTTATGGATATAACACGTTTCATTTTAACTTTTAATTTCCGACGTTTCGCACTTTACAGCATGCATGATCACGAGGAGGACTGAGGTGTTTGACATTCCCGATGTCAGAGTTAACGAAGACTAACTTCAAATTTTAATTATTATTTTTGGTCCGATCTAAGCAGAACGAGCTTGAAAATATATTTTTTATACTTTTACCACTGGTTCGGAAAAAACCTCTGTCCTAAGAGAGAAACAGCAAGAAACTCGACGAGACTTTTTTTTTTACGAAATACTTAAAAAATTTATCAACTATGTATGCGTGTATTTTATAACAACCCTTCCTATACACTTTTGTTTTAATAATATATTTAAACTTGATAATAGTGAGACCTTGTATATTTTCTGGGACTTTCTTGTAACAGCGTATACATTGCCCCATGACTGAATTACTGACTGTGTGGATTCAATAAACTGGTATCATTAACTTATGTTTGTTCCTGGTGTTTAAAGAGTGTAAATCACTTTGTGCACTAAAATAACAAATAAAAAAATAAATAAAGATACCAACCTATGCATTAAAAAGACAACATTCTTCAAGTAGATCAATGACCATAATTAAGCGGAGGCGGGGAAAGGCGTTAGAGAGACAGATAGTATTCCTTAATCTGTTTCTGGAACACATTTAACCCTTTACTTGGCAGATATTTTTTTTCCTTATTTTAATGTTTTTCTTTCAATCAGGGTGTTTAATTAGGTAAATAAAAGGTGAATAAAATATTTAAAAAAATCTTTTGCTTTTAGATATTTTTTTATTAAACGTATCCTGCAGTGTACACTGCCAGGTAAGCAACAATTTACATGATAAAAAGTACGTATCCTGACAGATACAGTGCCATGTTTACATTGTAACAAAAAATAGATTCTAATTGTAATTAATCAACAATTATTTATCATTTTTATTATCAAATAAACAGTTTTATAATTATGAGATCACGTTATATAATCAAACAATACAAATTATTTGCTTTAGAATACTATTTGGTATGATATGCATGAAAACAGTTTCGTTCTTCTACCAAACAAAATCTTAATTTACATTTTTGACAATGAATTGGCCTTTTGTGCAATTTTTTTCACCTGCCTTTACTTTGAAATACTGGCATATGCCCAACTTGAACTTATCATACAGCGACAATGGGTCTCTCTGCAGCTGGTTTTTTATTAGGGGTACATAATTTTTGAGTTTATTGGCAGAAACGCCTCTGTCAAACAAAAGTAAGCTTCGGTAAATTTCATATCTGAATTCTTTCAATGGCATTAATTTTGACTTATTTGATGCACCTCGTCGGTACATAAGCCAAGCGTTATTACATATTACATATATTACACATAATACATACTTCAAGGATTTGCGAAAACAGAGGTAGATACAAGCGATGTCCCTTGAATTCTGTTCTGTATAACGCAATAAGCATATCCGCTAAATCCACGCCACCCATATTGGAGTTGTACTCCTTTATCATTCGTGGACATGGTACTGGTATTTTCTTTCTCAGTACTTTGTTATACCAGAAATACCGTGGTACAGTTTGGAGAGTATGTGAGTCTACGTATGTGCTTGCAACAGTGACGCATTTGTTGTCGTACCACTTGGTAACAACAATCTTGTTTTTGTTACACACAACCTGAGTATGTGTACCTCACTTTCTTTTTTATTTTTTTATCAGTAGGAAGTTTCTCCGGTGCTCCACGAAGTCGGTTGAATCTAACAGTTCTAAAAATACCGTATCCATTTCTCAGTCGGTTCATCAATTCAATTTAGATAAAGAAGTTGTCAAAGCACAAGATTTTACAAGCAGGCTGGCAAATGGATTTGGCTAGAGCTATGACGACTTTTGCACCTAATCCCATGCTTTCTTCTTCTTCGGTAAACAAAGTGAACTGGAATGTATCTTCCCCTCCATATAGCAAAGTCATATACAATGCCCAAAACACCCTAGCTTTGGTGAACTAATTTCAGCAGCTTGTAACAGTAAAATTGATGATGATTGCCTTGGTGACAAAATTGATGGCGAAGCGCAAGTATTACTTGCAGGCGATGAGTACAGTTGCAAAGCTTTTGAAAATTGTGCGTTATTTCATCTATCTCTTTATTGCTATCCGATAATAGGTTTAGATCCAACAAAGACGATGGCAAAGATGGAGCTGGAGAGCTACTGTCGGAAAGAGTTGGAGGGATATACTTATATAACTCATCAGCTGAATCATCTCTGCTACCTACATCTGATCTAGCTCCAGATTTTGGAACTAAGGCTAGAATTCTACGGGCTCTGTTTAGTTGTTGTTGAAGCTTTTGTTGTGAAATCTGGAAAGAAACATTTATTATCGTACAGCTTATCTTAAATATGTATGAGCATTTGTACCAAAGCATACATAATTATAAAAAAAATATATTTCTATCTACTACAGTTACTATACAAGTGTTACACAAATTATTTTTTTTTTAAATTTATTTAAATGTGTTGATTAGGAATACAAAAAATCAACAATTATCTTTTTTTTGCATAGACATACATTCACTGATAAACTGGCAGTGTATCTTCATAGATACATGTCAAAGTAGCACTAGTTTCTTGCGCAGCTGGCAGTGTATACTCAGAGATACATATGGACAAACTGAGTTGTAAAATGGAATATATAAAGTTTTGGTATCAAAAAACTACATCCAGGAATAATATAGTATTACTGCATTTACTTTCACTTCAAATAATAATGAAAAATGCATAAAAAAGTAGCAAAATACATAATACTTACCGGCTTGTGCGTAGGCGCCTGCTTACGGTCTACCATCTTGCGGGCTACTGACAGTTCAGTGTTATCAGCAATAAAACTATAAATCCTACTAAATATCATAGTTCATAAACTAACTTATTACAAGAAAAACTATGTCAAAATTCGTTTAGTTTTCCTACAATATTTTTTTAAAAAGCAGTGTATCCACTGATGCACTCTGCCAAGTTAAGGGTTAAGGATCGAGCACTTTTAATTGACTGGGGTAAGGAGTTGCAAAGTCGTACTCCAAAACAGAAAATGATTTATTATAATAAGTCAAGGAGTGCACAGGACATTGGAGGGAAAGATTTTCTTTGGAACGTAAGAAAAAATTATCACAGGATATGAGCAATTTAAAACGTTCTTTTAGATAGGAAGGACTTGATATATTAAATAAGACAAAGTATATGAGTATTCCGACGAAGACCGATTGGGAGCCACTTGAGCTCAGTGCGGTATTCTGAGACATCGTCATATTTACGAAGCCCAAATATGAACCGTATACAGAGATTTTGGACTCGCTCAAGTTTGTCAAGTTGCTCCGCGGTGATATCAAGGAAACAATCGGTGATATCAGCATAGCAGAGGATTGAGAGTAGTAAAGATTGTGCAAGCGTAATTTTGGTGGCAACGGGTAAAAAGTAGTTAAGCTTCCGGAGTGAAGCATATGCTGCAAACATTTTATGGCTTACTGCATTAATTTGAGGAGTCCAAGAAAGATACATAAATTTTGGACAAACGTCATTATAAGGGATAGGAACTCCATTAAATATAACGAGTTGTAGTTGACATTTTTTATTTTGAAAATCATTCTTGAATTCCCAATAATTATGGCTTGGGATTTTAAAAGGTTTACCGTTATCCCTTAAGAACGACTCCAGTCGAGAATACATGTTAGATCCTTATTGATACATTCCACTGCTTTGGGAATTTCTTCAATGGTTGTTTGTAAGTATATTTGGAGATCATCTGCATACAAGTGGTAGAGAGAAGATATTTGGGATGTAATCCTATTAATAAAGATTGCGAATAAAAGAGGAGATAAGACGCCACATTGTGGAACGCCAGCTACTGTATCAAGCCACGAAGAAAGTCTATCTTGGACACGAATACATTGCCGGCGCCCATAGAAATAAATATGAAACCAAGCAATTGCAGTTGGAGATATGTCAAAAGAACGCAGAATCTCTAACAGGATGTCATGATCAACAGTATTGAAGGCATTGCTGAATTCCAGCAACACCAATAATGTGACTAGATGATTTTATATACTGTGGAGAATGTCATCCGTGATTTTCAATAACGCCTTAGTAGTACTATGATCAGATCTAAAGCCAGATTGGAGAGGGTTACTGCACCTGTATTATTTTTTTAAATAATGGTTTTAAGTGGATTTTGATACGTAAAAGCGGTGCTATTTTGTGTATTAAATGTCTGCGCATGTGAACTATTAGTGGAAACGGTGAAACAAGTGCTCTGATTGTGATGTGATTCTCAAGATAAGGTGTCTGTCTGCTTAGGCGCCTTGAGATACCTTCGCCAACTGTCAGCTGTCTGCTGGTTCAAGTTGCCGTCAAAATCTCCCAAGGGCTGCACAATGCGACGCATCGACATATTGTGAAGCAGTGTACTATGAAGGATAATTATACATTGTTACTTCAGGCTCATAAGGGCTAGAACCCAGAGCCGTAAAACTAGTTATTAAAAAAAATCGAAACTTTATAATCTGTGATTAAAACTCCCATTTCAATCAAGGTGTATTTTCGTAGTAGAAAAAAAAAAGATTAAGTGTTGTGTTTTATCGTGTAAAAACTATTCAGACAATCTGATGCTATGAATGGCATCACATTTCATTTGTAACTAATTTTATAGCTAATTTATTGAAATAGTTCTAACAAAATCTTTTTGCGACGGCTTTCAAATATAAGAGCTCAGTATTGGTAAAATTATCATGCGAAGATGCTGAAATTTGTTTTGCATTCAGTCCTAAAGAATTTTTAATAACCAAAATATTATTTTTATAGTTTTTATAATC